TATAAATACTCATTGTTAAAGTATAAATATTCGTTAAAGTTTAAATTGTTGTTAAAGTATGAATACTTGTTGTTAAAGTATAAATACTTGTTAAAGTATAAATTATTTTTGTTGAAATATAAATTTTCGTTGTTAAAGAATAAATATGCGTGGTTAAAGAATAAAAACTTGTTAAAAGTATAAAAACTCGTTAAAGTAATACATATTGTTAAAGTATAAATACACATTGTTAAAGTTTAAATACTTGTTAAAGTATAAATATGCATTGTTAAAGTATAAATACTTGTTGTTAAAGTATAAATACACTGTTAAAGTATAAATACTTGTTAAAGTATTAATATGCATTGTTAAAGTATAAATACTTGTTGTTAAAGTATTAATATGCATTGTTAAAGTATAAATACTTGTTAAAGTATTAATATGCATTGTTAAAGTATAAATACTTGTTGTTAAAGTATTAATATGCATTGTTAAAGTATAAATACTCATTGGACAAGGCTAGTTTTTAAATAGTTCAGTGATTCGTGGCAGGACAGCATCTTCACTGATGGGCCTCAGAACCAGGACCGAGCACCTCCTGTTGGGTCTCACTCCTGGACCTAATCGAGTTTCTGTGGACCGCTGGAACTTGGCCAGCAGGTTCTGTTCAGCGTCCGGGTCGGGTCTGCGAGGTAACGGGAGATAAGGAGCAGACTAAACGGGTTAGTTAGGTGGAGGCATGACGTCACGTCCTGCGGGTCAGGATGGAGTCTGAAGAAGAGACGGAGCCGCTTTAATTTAAAAATCTGATAAAAATCTGATAAAATCAGATTTAATCTCCAGAACGTGAGCGTTAAGGAGCAGCTTTCAACAAAAAATACAAAAACTGTCTGAAAATATCTGGTTATCTTGTCGTTGTTTGTGAAACCTTTGACTGAACCTCAATATCTCTCTCTCATTCATTCATTCATTTATATATATATTTATATATATATATATATATTATAGAGCTCATAAAAATATACTACCTTTTAATATCCAAATGTACTTTGTGAAAAGATCTAGCTGTTACGATCTAAAAGGGAAAGACGTATTTGTTAAACCACAGTTTAGAACAAGTTTTGAAGGGAAGATCTACCGTAATTCAGGGAGTTGGTTTATGGAATGACTTAGTAAAAGAGGTTAAGGATGCTATATCAATTTATGTATTTAAGAAACTGATTAAAATCAAATTGTTAAATGAATATCAATGATTGTATTTTGATGAGTATTGTATGAGAATTGTAAAATATTTTGATTTACTTACTTGTATTCGCTGTTTACAGGAAACGTTTGTTTGAATGGCTTATTAGATAAATAAGGAGCAGATTTAATAAGATTTTTTTCTTCATCTGCTACCTTTCATTTTATATTTAATGTTTTGTTGTTGTTACATATATGTTGATTATGTTGATTGTTATGTATTTATAAAATGAATAAATAAAATAAAAAATTATTATATAAATTATAAAATTATATAAAAATTATATATATATAT